ACCAAATTCCTTGAATGAATGTGAGATTTCCTTGGATTCCTCATAATCCCCAGCCAAAACGTCCTTGGATTTAAGGGGTCCTCGCGAGGTCCCTTGGATTCAAGGAGCCGCAATTGACGGAGTGTTCTGGAGCGAGCGCCGACAGGAAAATTTGGAGTCGATGTTGATGCACAGGTCGACTGTGGTCCATTGGACGGACATCGCCGGCCTCCAGTACCCGACGGCCCCCCAACGGCCTTCCACCATTACCGTTGGCGTGAAAATGCGTGGAGGTGGTTCTTCAGCTGCAAGGCACTTCACGAAGCAGGGTTTTCCATGCGCGCGTCGCCGGCCGTGGTGTCCAATGGTCAATTTTTTTTAATTTTTCTACAAGCGATGTTGAAGCATTGTCGGTCGATTGCAGGCATCTTCCTAGCGTGTTTTGTTGGCTATTGTCGGGCACATTGATGCAAACTTTGTTTGGGTCACGCCTTGCAAGTTGTGATTCATGGCAGACGTCCTCCGGCGGTTCCCAATCCTGCTGCTGGCCACTCTTCTCCTACTCCTTGTCGTGTTGTTCCACGTGTGCGTCGTTGTGCGGGTTCCTCGCAGCAGACAGAAACGACGAACGGTGTGGAAGACGACAATGGACAGGTGGGACCCCTCCAGCAGACAGCCGATGCGCGCCATTGACCACTCCAGTCCACAGCTTCTCCTTGTAGCCGTCCGCCGCGTCATCAACCTGTCGGAGATCCTCCCATGTCCCTCCCATCCTTCTCCTCATCCACCATCTCGGCGTCACCCGTGGGATCACACCCGATGCCATGGCGCAACAGAATTGCACAATGGATTCCGATAACGACACACAATCGGGTGCGTCCATCACTTGTTGCATCAATTGTCTCTGCTTGCGAACGAACAATCTCATCCTCAGGCGAGTTGTCGTTCTCTCAATGCGATAACGCATGGCGACGACTGACACAGTCGCGACCACCGTGCTTCTCTCCAATGCCGTTAATGCCTTCGCACCACCCGGGAGCTCTCGCTCCATCGTCAGGACTTGTAATGTGCAAGCACCTACCACTCGTTCGCCTGCCGGTGCCCTCGCTGCACCTTCTGCACGTCGATGGGGACCGCGCTCACACTCTCCATGTTTCACGGAAGCGTTACGTTCGCGCTAAGTTGTGACGGCCCGAAGAGCATGCGGAACACAAAGGTGAGGTTGCAGTAGAGAACCGTTACGCATATACACTACGTCGCCCAATGTTCCAATGCCATCCTCATGGCCGCCATCACTCCTCCGCACAGACGTTTCGTCCCAGTCTCCAGTCCAGCCGCCAGGACGCCTCACGCACTGATGTGTCACAACCGAGGGTTCGAAATTTGAAACTGGAACGGGGATGTTGGCGGCCTTTTTTTTCGTCAGCCCGGTAGGCCTCCCCGCCGCCGCCACTGGACCACGCCCGAGAACGCACGGACATCCCAGCACGATGACGGACATCCACCCCCTCGGCCGCGTGTATGCGTAAGAAATTGGCCGCTGGAGACCTCCAAGGGTTTTCCTTGGGACCCATTGAATTAGGACGCGGTGTAACCACGACGCCGAAGACCGGAAAATTTTCCAAGGACTTCATCCTAATTCCTGAGGATTTTCCAAGGAGGGTCTAACAAGGTCCTTTGTCTCTCCCTCCCTCCCTCTCTCACTCGCATGTGCTGGCTGGCATCGTGGGGCACAAGAAGGTGGGAGTTGCAATTAGTTTTCGCCACACAGTGCAGCTTTTTGTTGTACTGCACCACACAACACACCCGCTTAATGCCATGGGGCGCAGTCAATCCTGTTTCCCTACGGGCCTCTCACATGCACCCTGCCCTCCCAATTTTCCCGCCACACCCAATGAGGGGTGCTACAATTGGTCCATTTTGGCTAGTATTATGTGGAGGAGAGTTTGTAGATATGATTTGCATGAATCACTGTGACACTTTAAACTTTCTCCCACTTTGTGGGTTTCCAAATGTAGCCTAGGACACCAGGTCGCTAAAGGACAAAACTAGCTTTATCAGGATGTACGTAGCTCTGTCAGTATGCAACTGGACACCCGGATGTGCAGGTGCTGATCATGCACCTGGTCCAGGTTCATTCTGTCCATGCTATTTTTGTCCATTCCACACCAGATGTGCTCTTTGTGCACTCCCTCTCCCGCTGCCCTGCCCCCAATTCTGTTCTTCTTCTGCTGCAGGCAGGGAAATGAAACTGCCAACCTTGGGGAACATGTAGGTGGAAGAGTCAACATGTAGTGGAAAAGGTCCCATTTGGGCCAAATTGTGAAGTCCAATTTGGCGAACTGGGAGTCCCATTTCGCCATCGTGGGAACGTGTAGGTGGAGGGTCCCATTTCGCCAAGTTGTAAGTCCAGTTTGGCTAATGGGAGTGCCATTGACCATTGATCCTGGGCACAAGTGGTTAACAGGGACCCCCACTTTTCAGCCCCAGGTAACCACCCCAGCACTGAAAAGTGCATTTGGGGATAATTTTTCCCAGTTTTTTTTTTTTTTTTTTGCCGTCTTATTTTTGGTTGAGGGCTGCCTGTGCCAAGTTTGGTGTTTTTGTTGGGGTCTTGAAGACGACTGTTTTGGCCAGCCCTGAAAATCACGAAAAATCCTGAAAACTGAGAAAAGCGAATTTTGCATGAAAATTTGAAAACACACTTTTTCTTTTTGCTGTTGGTTTATTTGGTGTCCAGTTGTTATAATGACCCTGAAAACCCCCTGAAAGTTTAGGGGTCTGTTGACTGCTTTTCTCCAAGGCCGATCTTACCGGCGCTAAGGTCATCTAATAAATGAACTGGCAGTCAGACAACCAAACAACAACTAAACCTGTAGGACTCAGAGCATACTCCTGAAACCGGGACAGCCCGTTGAAGCCAGATACATCCAGGAAAGCCGTGATGGAAACGTGCCCTCGTAGACCCAATCAGAAGCTACCGTCTTCCTCCGAATAGAACGTGCGGTGATCATTGTCTATCGAGACTGAAAGTTTCCCCAAATACTGCTATAATCACCATCAACTTCATTCGGTGGAAGATGGTAGTGCAGGCACTGCAGAGCTCCACTTTGCTAATCACGTCAATGCTCTCCGTCGCCAAGATATGTTTTGATCTGCATGCTGCATGGCCAGGATGACGACCCCAGTCCTTCCCGCCAATGGGAACCAGTTGCTCAGGACCGATTTGCAACCTGGCACCTGGGAGCGGGCTGATACAGGCTTGATAGTCTTCTGGAGATAAGCCTAGTTCAAATCATGAAGGCCAGACAGGCTCCATGAACGGTCGCAGATGCGGAAAGTTCGGAGTCGACAAACACAAGGCATAAATGAGCAGGGTCCCTGGCCAAAAGGGCCAAAAGGAAGGATGCGTGCGTGTGCCACTTTTGTGTCAGACTTTCGGGTGGAATAGGAACCGGACTGACGCTCCCCGAACTGGAAATGGAGCCAGGACCATCTTTAAAATAACAAGTGAACCGGCCGCGGCCCAGCGCCAACCCCACCCCAGGCACAGCCATTATCTGGCCCGGACAACATTGAGGGTGTTGGTTTTAGAACATGAGGGACATGCAGCATCCGGGGGGGCATCGGCCAAGGCATCAGCGCGCCGTCGCATCCTTTGTAAATCAGAACTATTTTATTGTGGTCGCCGCTGGATTCGAACTCATGTCTGCAATTGAATAGTTTCAAGTGTGCATAACTGAGAAGCCTGCCAAATTGAATGTGCAAAATGGAATCCAGCGGCCTAGCTTAGCTGATAAGGCATGCAAGTGGCATTCAGGAGGTCTGGGGTTCAATACCCATTGCCCTCATGTACCTTCCTGGGCAAGCTTGACGCCCGGCACCTAAAGTGGTATTCAGCAGAGACTGCTGATGTTCATTGGGGGAGGCGACCGGAGGGGAGGCACAGCGACTGGCCCATTGAAGAAGCTCGGTCCTGATGCTACCGGCTGACCCCTGGCCAGTATCACCCACCTTCTGTAGCAGGTATCGCACCTGCTGGTGCGTGCAGCTCCTGCATGTTCCCTCATTGGAGGCTAGAGCACGGATGTGGCTGCTACGGGGTTCCTTGTAATACTGTAGTGACAATACAAAAAATGCCTGAAAGGGCATCCTGTCCAGATTTGACAGGTAATTGAATTGGTTGGGCTTCAAAGAATTAGCCTTTAAAAAAAAAAACTTAAAAAAAGTGCAAAATGAGAAGGAATCTTCCCCAAGAACATAGGACGATACACCGACGGGCAGATACATTGAAAAGAAATCCCGGTGTGAGTATTGACTAAGGAGCTGTCAGATGCAAATGTCGGCGCGCGCGCGCGCGAGAGAGAGAGAGAGAGAGAGAGAGAGAGAGAGAGAGAGATTTCCATCCATAGGATGAGAAAAATGGGAATGATCTGTCGCTAGAACATAGAAGTATACACCACCACATTTTCGGTCTTTGACAGTGTATATTTCCATGTAGTGGCAGTGAATACTTCCATGTTCTAGGGAAGATTCAATCAGAATGAATCCTCAGTCAGAACATGGAAATATACACTGAGAACAGGTAAGTCTCCAACCTCGCGGCTGGTCGCATGGTGCTTCCATCGATAGGATGAGCAAAATCGAATGAATCTACCGCTAGAACATGGAAATATACACTGCCGCACTTGTTTGTGTGTGTGTGTGTGTGTGTGTGTGTGTGTGTGTGTGTGTGTGTGTGTGTGTG